GTCTGTGATGTGTGGCAAGACATGTCACTGTGGACCAAAGGTGGAGTGGTTGACAAAAACGATTGGACGTACCACTGCTGCTCACCATTGTTGTTCATTAAGAAAGTCTTTTTTCTGGCATCAAAAAATTAAATCAGTAACCATTGTAACCATTGTTTTCTTTATATTAACGTGAACACAGGATAAAATATACAATCGTAAAGGGAGATGGGAATCACAATCCGTGAAGAGATTATGCTTCCACTTCTATCACACATCTCAGAGACTCTCCTTTCTGCAGAAGCGAGAACGCTTCATTGATCCTGGAGAACGGACGTGTGTGAGTGATCATCTCGTCGTACTCGAGCTCCTGGCTCACGAAAAAGACATCGCGCGTAAGTTCTCGTTATCGATCGAGTTGTATTTACCTTGCTCATGTATTTGTCCACCAAATCAGGCAGATCGGACTTGCATTTAAATCCGCCAAACACTGATGCGGTCCATATCCTCCCGCTGAAGAATTCGAGCGGATTGATTTCGAGCATCTTGTTGGAGCCGTCCACTCCAACAATCACAGACTTTCCCCATCCCTGGTCGCAAAATTGTTAAATTGCATTGAGAGAGCCATGAAAAATGAGAGTTACTTACGGGTTGGCAGCTTTCATAGGCGGATCTCATGACACTAGTGTTCCCAACACATTCAAAGCTATAATCCACGCCTCCTCCCGTCATTTCTTGGATCACCTGATATCAAGAGATAAAACAATCTTACCAGAGTCTTTTTTTTTTTGTTTTCGGATGGGACTTACACACTGAATAGCCTTGTCGTGCTCCTTTGGATTCAGAAAATCTGTTGCTCCAAACACCTTTGCTGAAACAGACGGAAAATAAAAGAGAAAAATTCAGCGGACAGGCTGTGGTGGTGACGTGTAACTGTACCTTTGGCGAATTTCGCAGGATTGAGATCCACGGCTATGATTCTGGATGCTCCAGCAATCTTTGCGCCTGCTACTACCTGGGCCAGATTTTAAAACAAGGAAAATGGTCAGGTTCCCACGTTGATTCAAGCGAAAACTTACAGCGAGCCCAACAGCCCCCAGCCCAAACACCGCCACGCTAGCACCCGCCTCAACTTTGGCAGTTTTCCAAACAGCGCCGATTCCTAGGTGGAAGATAACGAATGATCAGTCCTCCAGAAGCTGACAGACAACTAAATCCAAAGAACGAGACATCCAAAGGAAGAAAATGCAGAGACGCAACAAAGCTCCTTACCGGTAGCGATTCCACAGCCGAGAAGGCAAATCTTGTCCAGGGGCGCGGTTGGATCCACCTTGACAACCTGCGCTTGATCCACGACCGTGTACTCGCTAAACGTAGAGGTCCCCATGAAGTGGAAGATGGGCTTTCCCTGGATGGAAAACCGAGTCCTACCATCGCTCTTCATGGTGCCGCGAAGAGCATCCACGGCATAGTTCGCGCAGATGTTGGTCCGGGGCGACTTGCAGTACTTGCAGTTCCGGCATTCGCCCGTGAACACCGGAATGACGTGATCGCCGGGCTTGAGATCCAGCACGCCCTCGCCAACGCTCTCCACGATCCTGGACACACAGAGCCCAAGCAAAGGCATTAGGTTTTAGCGCATACAATGCTTTTACCCTGCTGCTTCGTGGCCAAAGATTCGTGGGAAAACCTCCACCTGTGGGAAAGAGAGAGGAATCGCGTTAAGTCTCCTCCATGGAGTGATCGAGAGATTCTTACCGGCGCTTCCCAGAATGTGACATCCGAGTGGCAGAGCGAGGTGTGCGTGATCTTGATCCGGACCTCCTGCGCCTGCGGCGGCTCCACTTGGATCTCCTCGATCACCAGCGGCGCCTTCGGTCCCCACGCGACGGCGGCTGTGGCAGGCATCGGCGCGAAAGATTTGAGAGAATGAGCGAGAAATCCTGGGAGAATCTCGGAAGAAATGGAGATATTTCGAGAATCTTGGAAGAAATGGGAAAATATTTCGAAAATATTTCGAGAGAGGGAAGAACAGAGAGAGCGATCGATCGAGGAGTGCATGCGTACCTTTGCAAGTGATCGTCTGGCCGGTTGTAGGCGTCACGAGACACATCTTGATCGACGCGGCAGGCAGCGGCAGCGGCAGCGGAGGCTTGCAAATGGACCAAAATCTCTCGACGAAAGAACGATCGATCGAAGCGGCAGCTAGAAGACGACGCGATCGCGATGATTCGATCAGAGTAGCGCGGCAGCGGTGGGTGAGCGATCCCTGGAACGAATTCCCTGCGCAACCACTAGGGATTGAATGCGCGCCTTCTCTCTTTGCTCGCGGTCGGTACAATCAAAGAAGAATCACACACACACACAAGAAGCCAAACCTAGTTTAGAAGATCACAGTCACTCTCTCTCTCTCTCTCTCTCTATCTCCTCTCCACCGCGCGAACAAACAAAGCTCTTTAAATCCTCTCTCTTTCTCTCCTCCTTTTCTCCTATCTATCTACCTATGTACCGTTATACCTCTCTCTTACTTTAAAATAGACCCGACCACCATAGCCAAGCACGGCAACGAACTTAGCAAGCTCTCTCTGTCGAGTCAAGCTCTTCCACATGCAACGTATTTAAAGCACGGCAAAGTCCACGAAGAAAAAATCCATACAAAGCAGGAGCTTTGAGATTTGCTCGTCGTCGTCTCCTAATAAGCACGCGTATCCGTCGTAAGAGACCAAAGCGATCAAATTTTCGCTTGCCTGGATCAAATCCCCGATCCCGATAAGAGCATCGTATTAACTTCATATAATGTGCGTGTGTCCAGCGTCCATCCGACACGCAAAACTTCACGCCAGAGGATATTAAAAATCTCGCCTTTGGAAGATTCCAGGTGCGTTTCCTGTGCGTGTGTTTGTCAAACACATTCGCATGAGCTACCAGAAAAGGAGGAAGAAAAAGCTCACCCTTGGAAGACTAGGGTGTGGTGGCGGTGGCGCTGGTATTGGTGGAATCCACGCAAATAACGCATCGCAGGCTCTTTCCCTCGAGCATCAGCTCGAAGGCCTCGTTGATTCGTGCGAGCGGGAGGCGGTGAGTGATAAACTTGTCCAGGAAATCCACCTCCTGCGAAGAAATACGCGGAAACGCACGAAAAGTTCACGTAGAGCGAAGTATAAATCGCTTGCCTTTGTCACGAATCTCTCCACGAGAGCTGGAAGCTGCGTTACTCCCTTGAAGCCTCCAAACATGCTGCCTTTGAGGACGCGTCCCGCGAGAAAGTTTCTCGAGTGGATTGTGATCTCCTGAGGGCCGGGGATCACTCCTCCGATCACGCAAACACCACCACCCTGGATCAGAGAGACGAGAAAAGCTTAGAAGTTCTTGAGATGACAATGAGTTTATACGTACGTCGTGGCAGCTTTCAATGGCGGAGCGAATCACGTCCACGTTTCCCACGCATTCAAAGCTATAATCCGTGCCACCGCCAGTCATTCCTTGCACGACCTGAGAAACGACGCTCGAACCACAGCCTGACACAAAGAAAGATCTGCGGAAATTTCTTAAAAAATCTACCTGTTGCAAAGGCATGGCATGGTCTGCAGGATGTAAGGTTTCAGTGACACCAAACATACGAGCTGCAAAATAATGTAAAGGCGATGGAGCTCCATTCAATCACGAGACGTAGGCAGCTTGAACACTCACCCAACTCGAGTTTGTGACGATTGATATCAATGCCAATGACGCGCGAAGCTCCTGCCATCCGTGCTCCCTCGGCAACCTTTAAAGAAAGTTGGCAGCTTGATCGAAAAATACGAAAACAAACAAACTTAGAACAGCACTCACAGCCATTCCAAGAGTGCCGAGTCCAAAAATCGCAACAGTGGATCCGGGCTCCACGTTTGCAACGTTCCAAACGGATCCCAGTCCTGCAGTTCGAAGTTATCAAAACAAAAAGAAAAAAAAAAAGGAAGAAAAAACAGAAGACGGTAAAAAAAAGCTTCTAGAAGACTTGCCTGCAGTGACACCACAGCTGAGAAGGCAAATTCTGTCCAGAGGAGCGGCGGGGTTCACTTTGACAACGCAGCCGTGATGCAGTACCGTGTACTCGCTGAAAGTGGAAGTTCCAATAAAGTGGAAGATCGGCTCTCCATCCTTTGAGAAGAATCTGGTTTTCCCATCTTCCAGCATTCCACCGCGGAATGGATTGATCCCCAGAACCGAGCAAACGTTTGCCTTGTCCGACTTGCACTTTTGGCAGCTCTTACACTCTCCAGTGAATAACGTCAGGACGTGATCGCCGGGAGCGAGATCGGGAACGTTGTCACCGACACTCTCCACAATCCTGTAAGAAAACTAGATCGCATAAGTTTAGATTCGAGGCAGATAAATTACGTCAGAGATTTGACCAAAGGTTTCTCGCGAAACAAGCTAAAGATCTCCCAAATTATGGGAAAGTGAGTCTAGCAAAACACTTACAAACAAGGCTTTCGTGAATGAATCCGATGCATGGAAATCCCCACGAAAAGAAATTCACGAAAGAAGAAAACCAGGATTCTTACCCGGCTGCTTCGTGGCCGAGGATGCGAGGAAACAATGCTCTAATCCCCTGGAAGAACACCATCGATCCATCAAAGAACTATGGAAAAAATGAGAGAAACCAAACGAAAGAGAAATCACCACCTCGAACTCCCAGTAGTGAACATCAGAGTGACACAAGGCCGTGAACAAGATCTTGACGCGAACCTCACCACAATGCGGTGGATCCACTCGAATCTCCTCGATCAAAAGCGGCTCCTTCGCCTTCCTCATCACAGCCGCTACAAGAACAAGCCCAGGAAATCTCTCGGAGCTCCAAGAATAGGAAAAAGAGTTACCTTTGCAAGTGATGATCTTCCCGGCGGTGCTAGAGCATTCTCCTCCTGCGCTCGCCATCGCCATTGCGCGTCAAAAGCACTAGAGCTGACTAGTAGCTCAAGAAAAACCTTTACTTTGAGTGGAGTCTTGTCAATCGCGGTTTGTGCCATGATATCCGGATGATCAAATCTAATGGATCTGGATCCGGGAGCTTTGCCACTGCCTCTACTCGATCAGACAAGGAGCTCATCTTCGCCAGCAACAATGAGATCGCGAGGCTCGCGCGCGCTGGCGAGCTCGCTCAGTGCAAAAGAGCCTTCGATGCAATGCCACAGCGCGACATCGTCTCCTGGAACGCGATCCTGGCGGTTTACGTCCGGCCAGGGGATTTGAAGCGCTCGGAAGAGATTTTCAATCGGATGCCCGAATGGGATGTTCTCACCTGGAACACGATGCTCGCAGCATTTGCCCACAGCGGGCAATTTCTGCGAGCCAAAGAACTGTTCGATCAAATGCCAGAAAAAACCATCGCAACCTGGAACACTATGATCTCTGCGCACTCACATGCCGGGAATTTTTCTTCCGCGATGGAACTCTTCCAAGGAATGCCGGAGAGAAACACTGTTTCTTGGACGAGCATACTAACCCTATATGCCCATAATGGGCATTTGCTTTTGGCAAAGAAGGTGTTTACCCTAATGCCAGAAAAGTCACTAGTGTCCTGGACGGCTATGGTGTCTACTTTCGTTTCAAACGCATGTATCGAGCAAGCAAAGAGAACTTTTGATTTGATGCCACGGTGGAATGTAATCTCTTGGAACACTCTTCTTGCGGGATTTGCCCAAGAAGGGCAAATTGATCAAGCAAAGCGGCTCTTTGACCTAATGCCGGAGCACGATCTCGTGTCCTACACCAGCTTGATTGGCGCGTACAGCCAAATCGGCGATCTGCCAAGAGCGAAGCTAGGGTTTGATCGAATGCCACAGAGGGATCTTGTGGCGATGAATGCGCTGCTCGCGCTCTACTCCCAGCTCGGCCGCCTGGGCGAGGCGCTGCGATTCTTCCACGCGATGCCGGAGCGCGACATCTCTTCTTGGAATTCGATCTTGCTCGTCTACTCCCAGGCCGGCGCCATCGATCAGGCGGAGGCGCTGTATCGATCGATGCCCGCTCGAAATATCGCGACGTCCTTGTTGATGATCGCGGCCTATGCGCAAGTCGGGAGGCTGGATCGAGCGGAGGAGACCTTCGATCGAATGCCGATGCGCGACGCCCAGGCTTGGAACTCCATGCTGGCGGCGTTTGTCCACAGCGGCGATCTGGACAGGGCCAAGGCGATTTTCGAGGCAATGCCAGAGAAATCCACCTCCGCCTACACGACGATGATCGCGGCCTTTGCCGCAAGCAAGCAGCTAGAACAGGCCACGGCGATCTTCGACGAAATCCCCGCCCGGGACACCATCGCCTGGAATTCGATTCTCTCGGCCTACGCCTGGAACGGCCACATCGATCACGCCAAGCGCTGCTTCGACCGGATCCCAGCACAGGACACCGCCTCCTGGAACGCGATGATCACGGCCTGCGGCCACTCCTCGCGCGGCGACGAGGCCATCGCGAATTTCCATCACATGGAGCTCCAGGGCGTGATCCCGGACGAGACGACGATGATGAACGTCCTGGCGGCTTGCAATCACGTCGGCCTGGTGGAGAAGGCGCTCTCCCTGTTCGTCCTCATGAGGGACGAGCATGGAATCCGTCCCGGGCGCGAGCAATTCGCGTCGATGATCGACATCCTCGCGCGATCCGGCCAAGAAGAGCGAGCTCGCGAGATTTCCAAGCGCACGCCACCATTCGCGCCCGAGGTCACACAGAGGAGCGCCCTCTTGAAAGCTCTGGCGACGCCATAGCCAGGAAGAACAGGTATATTCCAGATTCGGGAATCTTGATTTTGGGCCCTTACATGTAACCCTAGTTATTTTATTGGTGGAGGCAGGACAACGCAACACCGCATTGGTTCTTCGCGGAGGTGGAGGAGGCACAGCGCAAAACCCCCAGAGCTCTTCCAAGTAAGTCCTTCGATCTCAATGCGCCATGCAAGAGCATTGAATTCCTGGCAGAGATTTTAATTCGTGGGCCTTACTCTTTCTCTCCTCTGGGTTTTAGATGGGAATCCAGCGAACAGGTGTCAAGGACAGTAACCAGCTGAGGGATTCATCGCTCTTCCGGCCATCTCAGTCGGAAGTGGACCTCTACCAGCACGACATGGAAGATTTCTTGCTCGATTCTGCCGCGGAGCCAGCTGCGCCGCATCAGAACAAGCTCCTCTTGTAGGTATCCTCGTACATTTCTATCTAGCGGTTTTTTTTCCATCTCATCTCTTTTTTGCTTTCCAGATGCGATCTTCTAGACATCTCTGGTGTTTTGAGTGAGGCTGCTAGCGCGATCGTCGATGTATGCCAGTTCTTGTGATCTTTTCGTCACTCATCACGCACATTCGTATGGTGGTTTTCTCAGGATTCTTTCACCAGGTGCTTCAAGTCCAACATTCCAGAGCCGTGGAATTGGAACATATACCTATTGCCCTTGTGGTGCCTTGGCGTGATCGTGAGATACTGCATTCTCTTTCCAGTCAGGTATGCGCCTATCTGGGAGAGACGATCCTGCTCAAAGTTATTGCAATGTATAGGGTGTTGCTACTTACGGTGGGCTGGATCATCTTCCTGGGTGCTTTTATCCCGGTTCACTTCATCCTGAGGAAGCACGACCATATGAGAAGGAAGATCGAGGTATAGCATTCATTCTTTTTTTCCACAGAACAGAACATAAGACAAAGATTTTCTTTTCTTTGAAAACGCAGCGAGGGCTGGTAGAATTCATTTGCAGTGTCTTTGTGGCTTCCTGGACAGGGGTTGTCAAGTATCATGGACCACGGCCAAGCAGGCGTCCTAGACAGGTCTGTGACAGTTCCTCTGGCAACTGAGTTCGTTAACTTTCTTTTAGAGCAGGTCTTTGTGGCAAACCACACTTCGATGATCGACTTTATCATCCTTGAGCAGATGACCGCCTTCGCTGTGATTATGCAAAAGCATCCGGGATGGGTTGGTGAGCTTATCATCTTTTCTGTTCTTTTCCATTTTTGTCCAAAACATCCGTGGTTGATGCTCAATCTTTCTGCGTGACTGCGTTTTCCAGGTTTACTACAAAACACTGTTCTTGAAAGTCTTGGCTGCATCTGGTTTAATCGAACCGAGTCTAAGGACCGCCATGTTGTCGGGGAAAAGTAAGTGAAAGTCCGACGAAAGATTGTATCAGCTGGTAAATCCATCTTGCTCGTCACCAGGCTTCGAAAGCACGTCATTGATCCGGAAAGCAATCTTCTGCTCATTTTCCCAGAGGGGACTTGCGTAAACAACGAGTATATTGTGATGTTTAAGAAGGTTCGTGGTCTCATGGTTCGCTCCAAGTGGTTCTTATTTCCTGTGCTCGACTTACAGGGAGCGTTTGAACTGGATTGCACAGTGTGCCCGGTTGCTATCAAGTATAACAAGATCTTTGTCGACGCTTTCTGGAACAGTCGCAAGTAAGTGAGCCTTCTCATCTCGATTGACTTTAAGGTTTTTCTTTTTCCGACAGACAATCGTTTACAATGCACTTGCTGAGGCTGATGACGTCCTGGGCGGTCGTCTGCGATGTCTGGTATTTAGAACCACAAACAATCCGGCCCAACGAGACACCAATAGAGTTCGCGGAGAGGTATGTAAAAAGTAACTCTTCTTTGATCCTTATATTTCCTTTCAGAGTTCGCGATATGATAGCGAAACGAGCTGGAATTAAGAAAGTCGCTTGGGATGGATATCTGAAATACTACCGTCCAAGCTCGAAACTCACGGAGAAAATGTAAGCTTCTTCTCTTCTAGTTTTCCTGTGGAAAAGCTGTAGCTTACGCGTTTCCTCCGCAGGCAACAGAAGTTCGCTGAGAGCATGCTAAGAAGATTAAGAACGAAGACAAGTGACGAGGATCTCAGCACTCCTATGGAAGGATAGTACGGTACTCTTTTCTTAAGAAAAAATTCTCGTTCATAGTAATGGCCTGCCTTGGGACATTGACAGGAGAAATGTTTTCAAATGGAGGGGATGCTATTGATAAAACTCCACTAGTTTAAATGTTCAGCGAGGAAGCTTTTAAGAGACTCGATGTGCGAGCGGTGCTCTGGCACAAGGATCGCATCCCAGCAACGAGGCCCGGAAGAACATGGTCGAGAAGCCAGGCCGCCGCCCTTCCTGACGCACTCCACCATCTTCCTGCTCAGCCTCATCAGGTAAAACGTCGGGCAAGTGCCTCGCATCACAATCCCAGACAAAAGGAGCTCCTCGGGAGGAGATTCACAGAGAAAGTTCTCATACTTGTCCAGGAGCTCTTGCAGCAATCCCCGAGGCGATCATCTCCGCCTCTGGATCGCGATCCCTGTCCTTGAAGCTCCAATGCGCAACGAGCCGAATGAAACCATCCATCTCCATCTCGACTGCAACACCGGGGAACAGTGCTGCCAATTTGGAGCTCCAGCTGACGCCGTGTGACGATGCGCATGCCAAGAACATCGAGGCAGAAGAGCTCCAGGAGTGGGTACTCTTGGACAAGTTCTCGACGTCGGACACTTCCTCTAGCCTATGAGTCTTGGTGACGCAGGCGATGGACTTGACGAGGATCTCCACGGCCCTGGAGCTGCATGCTATCCTGCTCGGCCGGCTACATCAGGTCCAGACCTAAAAATTGGAGCATGAGTAGTGAGGAGTATACTACATCATCGGCAGAAAGAATGAGGTGAAGTCTTTCCAGGATTTTCTTGGAGAGAAGTTGAATTTTTGGAGCTGGAACTGTGTACGTGACGTCTACCTGGCAGGTTTCTTTCCAATCTCATGCAGTGACCTCTAGTGAAAGACATAGTCTCAGCCACAAAAGCGCACAAGCGACAGGGATTATGCGTTGACAATTTGAGAAAGACGCTCATCAGAGAAGCAGCAGCAGCAAATCGGTCACTCTGCTGCTCTAAGCTTCCACAGCATACTCGACAAGCTTGTGGAACTGGAGTCATCATTTGAGTTGCATTGGCCAGGTCAGTCGAAACATAGGATTATTCTCAAGAATATCATTTCTTCTTGCCATGACCCATGATTGTAATGTTGAAGAATCTGCCGCACCTTTGCAGCAGTTAGAGAGTTCTTATCCTCCATTTAGACTTGCTCTATCAACATTGCCTTTTGCCAAGTTGTTGTTCTGCTGGCCAAAATCTGTTTGTGTCGAAATCTTCTTTAGGTTTTGCCAGACTTTAATTTTGAGAGGATTGTGAGAAGCATCAAGCAGAAGTTAGGTGTATTATACAACGACCATTTTGATCCCTTGATCTGATTGTTTTGCCTGGAAATTTACTACATTCTAAGAAGCTCACCAAAGTGTCCACTATGGCAGCATGGACGTTTGCTATCTCAAACTTCTTGTTGTGTGCCCAATTTACATGTTTGGTCCTCTCTTGCAACAAACCCATGGCTGCTGTTGGAGCTGAGAAAGCTCCCTGGATTTCCCCTCCGGCAGTAGCGAATGCAGGGAATAGGAGGGGCTTTGTGAAGAGTTGTGAAAAGCTGGCAACGTTATAAAAAAAAAAAAAAAAAAAAAAGAACAAATGCTTCCCTTATATATGATTTTCACACTTTACCCTATAGTAATTTACTATATAATAATTATGGAGGAAAACCTAAGTTTCAGAGCCTTGATCCACTAAAAACAAGGATAGATCTAAACTCCCAAGTATATAGCTAAGGAATGAAGAAATTGAAGCATAGAACAACTCATAACTAAAGAGTGAAAAAACAAAAACATGAAATAACATTGAAATAGTATTAAAGCATTCAGCGTTCTAATGGCAAAAATAGCATATGAAATGGAGTCAAATAAAATTTATTACTAATAACTACTCCATCAGATAACACGGTATAGAATTTGGGTTTAAACCCAAACCAAACTATCTAGGTTAAAGTGTAAAGAGTAATCACCTTAGAGTGTAAAGAGTAATTAATGAGAAGAACACAGTTGACAAACATCCTTTCGAAAGGCAGTCAAAGAACAATGACAGACATACCTAGTAAAGAGTCAAAGGCAATCCTAAATGATCTGAACTAACAATCACTACACATAATACCTTCTTTCCTGGAGAATACTGAAAGATATGCTAATCACTATATAAATCAAATTCCTCTTGTCATTAAAAACATCCACAAAGGATTAGTAAGATAAATATATACTAGATTAGACCAGTTTCTTGGCTGGGTTGCCCCCAAGCAACTGTTCTAACACACTGTGAAAGTAAAAGTTGTAAATGGTTTGAATAGAAAAGGATAGTTACCTGTTCTTTTGTGCTGGAGATCTTAGCTCATTATCATCCTCTAAAACCACATTATCTTGCATGACCATGCAAACATGTAAGCTCCTGAGTTTGGACTTCCCGGGAGGTCACCCAGCCCAGTACTATTCAAACCCAAGGACGCTTAACCCCAAATATCCCAAGACCCTTAACCAATTGGAAAAGGGGGTGCACTCTTGTTCATGGGCCCTTTCCCTCTGTATTTGAACCCCTATGGATCGTCTCTCGAGTCGTTCCCTTTGGTTGCTTACAATCCACCACGCTTCCCTGCAAGTTCACGCCCTCGTGAACGGAAGCTGAGAGCCGCAGCTCTCCCGAGAGCCTTGCTCTCTTGACACCCTACCCCTCGGGTCGAGCCCAGCGGAGCAAACTGGACCAGCCAGATGTCAAACAACATGTGGTGTGATTCCCCTAGCCAACCAACAGAGTCGGACCCGAGACCCCTCTGATACCAAATGTAAGCTCCTGAGTTTGGACTTCCCGGGAGGTCACCCAGCCCAGTACTATTCAAACCCAAGGACGCTTAACCCCAAATATCCCAAGACCCTTAACCAATTGGAAAAGGGGGTGCACTCTTGTTCATGGGCCCTTTCCCTCTGTATTTGAACCCCTATGGATCGTCTCTCGAGTCGTTCCCTTTGGTTGCTTACAAAACAGTGAATAGAAAACAACATTCCACTTTCCCCTCCACATAACAATCCTTTTTCTGCTGAGGGCTCTAATGAAGCTAAACTAGAGCTCCTTATATGTGAAATTCCGAATCTTACTGCTAGAGAGAGATTGCCTCTAGCGCTTCAAGAGCAATGCCACATGTTTTTGTAAGATCTTGCTCCTGACATAGCGGGACTATTTGAAAACACAGAACACTATTACATTCGATGTCTAATATGCTACTTTTTCTTGGACAAGACAAATGGCTCTATGGGTTTACAAACTTTTCTTGAGCACTGTAGGAATTGCCCAACAGCAAGTTTGGAAAATGTGCACATGTGGATGTACAATAAATTCAAGAATGAGTTACGGACACATACCCACTATCGCTTCATGGTGAGGAACAACATCCCCTTGGGAAACATTACATTGGTTAGTGCAAAATATGGGGTTTTTATGCCACTCTATAGTGGAATATAAAATCTAGAATTACTTTACTATACTATAGTATTGTCACTATTAAAAGAAAAATATAATGAGATGATATTAGTTGTAGGTAACATACCTTATTCTAGAAGGTGCTATCATATCACATATAATTGTTTACAAAATGTTCAAGGAGGAGATGGCAACACACAAGCGCTACAAAGTGATGGTGACAGGTGAGAATGATAATTTGCAATTATGATATCTGACATTGACACTGGCATTTGACAATTTTACTGACATTTGACACTTTCACTGACATCTAACATATAATAAGCTTTCTATTTTATGTAAGGATGCAATTAACTTTCTTCTGCCTCATTATCAACATAATGATTTCTTTTATACTTCCTCCTATATTGGTATTGTGGGGAAGATTCACCTTGCATATGTTGAGCCATGGCTTCTGCATAGTCAGGGGATTTCCAAAGCCTCAAATTCTAGAAACTCCAGGTGACTGTAATCTATAAATTAGAATTAAACATATATTGAAATTTTAATAAACATAATTTACCTCCTTGAGGTTCGAGGCAACTCATGAAATCCTCTAAGCCGGTGTTTGAAGAAATGATGTTCTTCAATAGAAAACACCGACCTACCAGAGTCATATGCTGCCTCCACTATAAAACCACTACCTGCTGTGCAATCAATCACAACACCATCTGATGGGCAATAGAGCTCAAGCAAGACTTGCATTGCCAATGGAGTTCGAAATTGGTACCTTGGAAACGTGTTGCAAATCTGCTCATCCACAAGGTTGGGTATGATGTTAGTGGAACTGTCGTACCCAGGCAAAACACGTGCTGCACGTTCGCTATCACGAAACCCATCATGTGTATTTTTGTAGAAGGCATGATAGGTCCACATCATAACCTGGAATATAAAAATGTTTAGAAATTAGATAAAAATATAAAATACATGCTCACCTTTTTAGGCTTCCCTTGGACACCCCTCGTATCAACGCCAATAGGATCCATGATGCACCCGGAAGAGAATGACTTGAAATGAACTTTTGCTGCGCACGTCATAAGCTCATACATCCAGTTGGGGTCGTTCGGTAGGATGTCTGTTGCGCACATCATAAGCTCATACATCCAGTTGGGGTCATTCGGTAGGATGAAGACGACATGGCCAGCTTCAAGCATAAGTGCTTCGGACAATAGGAATGCATCGCATATGTGGTTAGGTGTGAGAAAGTTCCAATCCTCAACTTTCCCATCGATATCTGAAAGACCATCTGGAAAGTCGAAGAGAATGAAGTCCGCAACTGGGAGCAAGGGCCTTTGTATCTTTCGGCACCAACGGTTGAATTGGCGCCATACATCCATGTTGATGTCGTCTTCCGTGAAAGATGTCAACAATCTACTGTAAGAGCCAATGAAGATACCCACGATGCCTCGTTGTGTTATTGGGGACACATGATGGACCTATAAAAGAGCTAAGTGAATGAAAAAAATAATAAATAGTATGCTACTGTCATATGGCGTGTTGTCGATGAGAGTTTCTCCAACTCCTCTTCATGAGCATCTTGTCGAGCTGGAATGAAATTACTACCAACAGTCATTGTTGCAAAAAACATATATTACCACCTTTAGTTTATAAAATTCATTTTTGCTTACCTTGAGGTCGACGTGATATTCTGTGAACCACTTGATCATCGTTATTTACTGGTAAAACCTGATCCGGATCTTGGTTGTTTGATGGTTGAACTGGAGCATGATCTTGGCTGTCTGATGGTGGAACACAAATTTTATCTGGAGCTTCCTCATCCTGGTCTCTATCGTCACTTGCATTGCCATCATTGCTAGCATTGACAACTTCCTCGCGATCTAGTGTAGAGGTCTCCTTCCCCAAGAGCTCTAACTCCCAAGGGCATTCTATCTTCCGTGCCTTTGGAACTCTTGCAAACATTGTTAGGTACATTCCTCCATCCCTTACACCCTTTGCAACAAATCAAGTGCAAACTAGTGCCTCAAATGGCATGCCTCTATATCAAAGATACCTGTAAACAATATATATTAAAAAACAATCTTAGAAATCATATTATACTTGTAAGCTACACGTTGCATGAAATAAGGTTGACCATGTTGGCAATCATAAGTTGTTGTGCTTGTTGATGTAGGTGTCGAAAGACATGAATGTGCCATCTGGATCGTCACCAATGTGTGGTGCCAAGAATTTCTCACCTTCACTTATAGTTTGTGTGATGTAGACAGCCCTTCTCATCATGTTCTCAAATGGTTCTGGCAGTCCTTTCTCTCAGTTCATCATGTAGACATTGAGAAACTTCAGAGTCTCTATCTGTTGCTTATATGGAAGCTTCAATTATGCGATATTGTAAATCATGTCATCTGGAGTTT